ATATAGTGAGCCTTCCCCCCGGAAGAATGGCTATATCGTGAGACTTCCCCCACGGAAGTTTCACTATATAGCCGTTCTTCCGGGGGGAAGGCTCACTTTATAACCAGTCTTCCCCCATTCATAGCGAGACTTCCCCCTCTTATTATAGTTTCCGGAACATTGTTTTATTATTTTAAAAAATTCTAACAGTGTTAATTTATGACGAAATTATCTTCCATACATATACATGTATTTATATACCGGTATTTATTTTATATGCATGAACAGTTTGAATATCGTTTTAACTGTTTGATATCCATTATAACATATGCATGTACATTCAGATGATATAATATATATAATATGTATACCCTTTCCTTTACATGTATTGATGACGAATAATTTTATTAGTTCACGAGTCACTTATATGAAATGTTCTGATTGTTTTCAGCATTTGAATAAAAAAAAAATTGATAGCATAGTTTTGTTTCTTTGTTTTTCTGTTTGTGTACAAACATTAGCTATTTACACATTAGATATGGTTCAACCGATTTCATAAAAAAATGTAGCGAAAAGAAGAAAAATTTATAGTACTTTAAGACTTATATTTCTTTTAATTTTACGTATTTTTATACGTGTATTCAAACATCCAATCGTCCAAACCCAGTTTAATAAAATATCTTTAAATAAATAATTTTTAAAACACGACTAAAATGAAAAAATAACTGTATGAATTGATGTATGGGTGTGATGAGCAGGGGATGCACACGTTTTCATACAATTTTTCCGGTCATAAATTTAAAAAAAGGGGGGGGGTGGGGTTAAGCCCAATCCATGCATCCGGCCGTGCCTTTGCTAAAATATGCATGACGGTCAGAATTTGATTCAAAGTGTATTAGAACTCAAATCCGTCTTATTTGATTTTATAGTGATGTAATTTCATTAATATCACGCAAATTTAATTTCAAAATGAAATACAAATCCTAAAAATACTTCATAACATTTATAAAAGTTAAAAGGTCCCTAAAGCATACAATAAATATTTAATTATGTCAATGTATATAAAATCCAAACCGAAAACCGAAGGGGGAAGACTCACTATGGTCATTATGGGGGGAAGTCTCGCTATATAGCCATATTTCCCCCCAGGGGGAAGACTCACTATATAGCCAGACTTCCGGGGGGAAGTCTCACTATGGCGGAAGTCTCACTATATGACACCGGTTTTATAAATAAAATCGGCAGAAACCATGATATTGCTATAGCCTGTTTCTTTTGAAAAGATGTCCTGTAATAAATGTTCCAGACCTTTTTGAAAGACTTTCATGATTTTCAACAGAAAATGGGTGACTAAAGGAGGCCCGGGTGTTAAAATAACAATATATCTTATACTTTTCGGCGAAAATTAGAGCTCACTAGTGACCGATTCGGTGGTAAAAAATGTGCATTATCATCTACACTGACAAACCTTTGTTTGCCTTATATGGTTATTGTTATAAATTCGCACAGGGGATCTCACCACGAGCAACTGACCAATCGTTGAATGAATATCAACGTTTACGCCAAATATTATCATTTTACTAACAGCGTGACAGTTTGCTTGATGGGGCGTGCTAAACTTTTGTGTGCTGATTTTCATTTTACTAATCGATTGGATGCTTTACTTCTATTGAATCAATACTAATTTGCATATAAAACTCAGAATACAACAATATCCTGAGAATACTGGCCAATCACATTGAATGATTGTTCTCCAGTGCAGCATTTGTACTCACCAGCAACACGTGGTCAGTCAAAGCCCGTTCTCTGTCCTCAAAAAAGCATGTAAATTATATTTGTTATGCTTTGACCGGATGGTTTCATATACGTATAAAAAATTCAGAGAATTGAATTAGTAAGACTACTCTGCTACTGTTGTACTATGTATCTATCAATATCATCATTATAGGTTGTAAAACTTGCTTTGTCCACCCTCGTGTAACTGTTGTTTACTGTATGCCAGTAAACATGTGATTCAATACGATTGGTCAGTATTGTCAGTGGTATTGTTGGGTTCTATGTTTCATATGCAAAGTATTATTGATTCCATTGAAATCAAACATCCAGTGGATGAGTGATATGATAATCAGCATTCAAAAGTTTAGCACACGCCCTATTAAGCAAAATGTCACGCTGTTTGTAAATCGATTATACATGTTTACATTTTACTTCGAACACGTAGTTCAGGTCAATCTATGATCATGTTAATGGGCTGCAATATAAAAGAAATGAACAAAATACAAAGATAAAAAACTATGAAAGATGTTACGGGCGTTTTTAATTTGTTGTTAAATGGGGAAAAAAGTTTAATAAAATGTAGTTTGTGTCTAGTTCAGAACACAAGGGTAAGGAAAACGAGCAGCATCTCTTATGCATTTAAATGGACAAAACTTTGTTTACGTTCGTGATCACGTGTTCGGCCAGGGAATTCACCTGGCAACTGTATTCACCGAAAGTACAACGAAGGAATAAGTACAGACGCAATTTACTTTTGCAGTATGACTTCAGAAACCTAGACTTCCGCCGTTTATTTAACAAATGAATTGTTTGTTATTATAAGCATGAAAATAATATTTTTAAAAATGCTTTTCATTTACCATAAGATTTTCCTTTTTTTCAAGAGTAAAATTCCTGTAGTATTCGTAGTAACCCATAATGCAATACTCACTCAGCTGATTGGTCAGTTAAAATCGTGCTGGTGCCTCATTTGCTAATCTGACGCCAAAAAATATAGTCCGGGTTCCCATGAAAAAATATTTGTCCAAAAAGAAATTTGAATTCATGACTGCAGAAAATTGTATTATAGAGAATACTTAATAATATTTAAGTTTGAATGAATGTAAAAGAGATCGATTGACTGAAGTACATTTCAACAGACATTATCAGCTGATTCTAGGGTGGTGAAAACTGAAACGCAACATAACTTTTCTGTTTACCATGCCTCCACGTGCTAGTCACTTCCTAGCCATTTCCGTGAATAATTTACCCTATCTCGCTGAAGTCTCGCTAACTCTCGCCAGAGCCACTGCCAGAGCTACTCTGAACTCATCGGGTTTTATAATTTGCAGAATACCGAAAAATAAAAGGTTCCGAACACATTAGTAGGGGTGTTTCAGCTTAAACCAACCAGTGGTTTGGCAAGAAAAACATATTAAACCACAAAACATGGCGAACTCTTAATTTATAACGTATTTTCACCAAGAACAAAATATCATTAGACAAGGAAGGATTTTTTTTTCCTTACAAAAGAGTTTGTATATTACAAAAAATGTTTGCGTTTTTTATTTCGCGATTATTTTTGTAAGTGTTTTATTTGCGTTATTTATCAACTTTTAAGGTATCTACTCCGGTTAATTGATAGACGTATAAGAATATATTTTGAATAAATTATTTTAAACTTCTTACCTTTTAATTCATGTGTATAACTTTTTGAGGAAAATAAAATCATTTTTATTGAATCTTTTTCATTCCAAGTGCAAAATAAGAATCCACTGACATTGGAAATTTATAAAAAGCAAATACTAGTATCACTTTTTAATTGTGAAAATATTCACAATTTAAATGGAAATGTGGAGAAACGAAGAGTTATCAAGCTCCATAATCATAAATTAAGAACATGTCAATGAGAAGGTGTTGTATTGAACATGCTGATGTCATACGTAGTGCTTTTGGTAGTCTGCATCAAATTTATTAAAAATCTTGGATTTTGTCAGACGTTTCCTTTGTCGTTAAGTTGATTGCTCATTAATGCCTTTTATACATATTGTAAAGTCATCATTTTTCCTTTAACTCGATCCTGTATAAGGCAGAGATCACAAGGCCGCTGACTCTTCCTTGTCACCTGATCCAATCTGTTTTCAGAGGCCCCCTTGGATCTGCTAGGAATTACTCTGATTTAAATGGAGTTTTGAGCACGACAATGATCGTTATCTTCTAATTTTATTTCATCTTTTTTTTTTATTCACTAACGTATTTATCATGTTTATTGCTTACTTTCAAACTTGCACATTATTTGTGCTTATACCTATTTTAACCTATTTTAACCCATTTTTCATTATATAAGTTTTGAACTCGTTGGATTGTTCTGTCGGATCTTTAAACAAAAATTAAAAACATATGTACCTTCTTGGCCCTTTATCAATGACTAGATCCAATGCGTATTACATTGTAGGGCCAAATACATGTACTAGGGTTTCGCTGGAAAAGCTAATTAATCAGTTCGTAATTAAAACTGAAAAACAACAATAAAAAGTTGTTAAAAACTATAAACATTTCCAGTGGCGATGTCAATTTCGGTGACTTGACTAAATAATTTTTTTCTTCAGAAATCAGTAATATATTTCATAGATCTATATTCAAAGAAGCAGGGTGGAGGAAATATGTAAGATTGTGTCACAATGCTAAAAAGGAGGGCAAAATTTTGTTCAGGGTCACATAGAAAACGACATAAAGACACATACCTAAGCAGCAAAGAAAACATAAGCTTTCTTTATATTTTATATATGGAATTATTATAATTAACTGATTATGTCATTTCCATTTCAAAATATATTAATCCATGCATTTGTTTGTGTTATGTAACCGTAAAGGTTATTTATAAGTCGGCTAATCCTCGTCCAATTATCGAGTTCTGAGCTACGATGTGATTTTAACCAACGACCAACTTTATAAACTGACCACCAATGGTCTTACGATGATCGAAGGATGGTTGACGGATCGCTTCAATTGAAGAAATCGGCCACCGATGCAGAAAAAATAATAACTTGGACCGATAGACATAAAATTAGTCGGCCGACGAGGAAAAAAGGTCAAAATCGGGCAAGACAACGGCCAATGATTTGTTGACTGTCATCCAAAAATACCATTTTGCTTCAAAAGTCGTCAGTCGTTGGTCGCTTTTATAAATGTGACTGGGTTTTACATGATTAAGAACAGAACAAATTATTCAGAATATTAAGATTTTTTTTTCATTTATTAGCCTCCTAAGCGGTACAAATGGAACATGGGACATAGGTGCCATTTTTGTACGGTGGACATGGCAGAGTTCCACATACGGTGATAACAGGATGAAATAACTTCCCATTTTCATTTACTCTAGATCTCTCAATGAAATCCGGATTGTCGTCCAGGCAGAGGTACTCTGATTTTTGTTCATTATATGCATTTGAAGTCAGAAATCCTTGGTATTGTTTAACCCACCCTGAAGGACACGATAGTTTTCCTGGAATAATTAATGCAGACGTTGCTTGTGTCACGCGACAGACGGCACATGGGACATCATCCTGATATACTACATTCTTGAAACTAAACTGGTACTCTCCTCCGTAGAGATGGGCAATGCCGTCGCTCTGATGAATTGGAAAGTTGGCGTCAACTGAATCCGGATCATGTGGTAAACATAATGTGTTAGCTCCGTTTCCCGTCTCTGTGAAGAAACTTCCCGCTACAACGCCTGCGGGAGAAAACAAAAAGTGGTTAATATATGTCAAAATAATAAATAACAAGAAGTGTTAACATAAAAATTTCTACGTACCAACCTATACATTCCGTTCATATACCGGTATCTTGTTTTGCCTAGAAATGAAATAACCTCTGTATCTGATAAAAGATGTCCCTTGCCTTCCATCTAATACATGTATATTCACGAAGAAGGCGAGTAATAAAATTTAGACGGCAACGATGCGGACTTGGCGTTAATATAGCATCCGTATACAGAAAAATATGCTAGTATTATTTTTCATTTTAAAAGGAATCAGAGATATTCTAGTCTTTTTTCTTGGCAATGCTGCATGTAAAGGAGATGTGAGTATTTTGAGTGAATTCTGCAGGTTTGGCGTACAATAAATTCATGCTTTGAATATCAACATATAATATGCCGGTATATTTACATCTGCCAATGCCTTTCCTTACATGACAATACAAATTAAATTTACCGGTACATGCATTTTTGAATGAATGCAGTTTGTCATGTGATCAGACTTTCTTGCATACGTAAAGCAAACTGCAGGAACTATTTGGAAAGTTCCGATTGTAACGTCACATAACGCAGTGGTTACGTAATGTTGTGTTTTATCTAAATGGTACACCTATTTTTCTTTGTAATACGAATAAAAATACGTTATAAATATAAGAACTAAAATACCATTTTTAGAGTTTCATTTGGATATGACATGAAGTTGGTACGTAATAAAACTTACTATAACGACCTTCGGGCGTTATAGGATTTGATCACGTGACCAACTTCATGTCATATCCCAATGAAACTGTAAAAAAATATATCTTATTTCTTAAACATCACTGTGATACTGAAACATACTACAAAATGGTTTTATTATAATATTATTAATGAAAGTATGAGCTCATTTACAAGGTGTGTTTTAAAAAAGTTATTTTTTGTCAGGGACATTCTTTCCATTATTTTTAAAAAAATACTTCCTTTAGAGTTAGAATGCATTCAAAACGTTTATAATCGAGAAAAGGTGAAACAAAAATGAAAATTTTATAGAAATGTGTTAAAAAATCAACGTTTTGTACAAATGACTCATCTAGGCATATTTCATACCATGCACCGGATTGTCGGCTTTGCTTCAAGTTACTTAAGACATTAATGTCATCAATTGCATAACGGGCGAAGCCAAGAAGTTTGCAATTTGCTGAAAAACTTAACTGATACTAGTATGATGCAATACAGTATATATAATTCTATTTATATATTAAAAGATCCTTTCAGGAAAGATTCACTTACCACTGTACAGAGTTGTGGTGTTGCTCAGTTGAGGACATATTCTCTTTCCCCATATTGTGTACGTTGTTCCTGAAGAAAAATGATAAGCATTGATAACTCAATGCAAAGAATTAGCTTAAGAGTTCCAGTCCAAAGTGAGCACTTGAAATTACTTGCCATAATTATTATTCTGTGTAACTTTGGTCATTTCTTCTTTCAGCAGTTGGACCTGTCTTTGGAGTTCAACAATTTGCGTCTCCATCATCTGCGGGTCATTTACAAGGAGACGTTTTTCCTGTTGCAAAGCATTAAGTCCACCAAATATGCAAATTAGGAAAACGATTTTTAACCTCATTTTCGTCTCTCTTTCTTAGACAGTGAGGTTACAATAATGTTCCACCTTTCTTATCTTTGTCCTCATTATGTGAGATTAGATATGAAGATAACAAACAAAGTCCATTGAAATGATACATATTGGGAGTAGAGAAAACAAGATCTTGAAAAACATCAATTATGGGATCAGATGCCATGGAAGAGTAAGCATTCCCTGTCAACCGGTCATACCCGCCGTGTGATCCTTGTCATGATCGGGGACGCGGAAAAATCCGTAGACAATTCAGTGTGAAAATAATGGAATAACAATTTGTATGACAAATGTAAGCCAACATTGGACATAGATTGTGTTTGATGATAAGGTTCCATTGTCTCGGCCATAGATTTTGGGAAATCTTGACTATAAACTACTGAAAATTTTTAGTACTTTTCATTGTAATACAAGATATGTTACCGAGTCCTTCACCTGTAGCTGTCCTAATTTTATTTAAAGATTAATTTATTTACTACTTTAAGCATACTAAATATGTAGTATTTGTAATGCCGGGAATAACAAACATCAAAGATTTACAACATTTGCAGAGCGGATTATAGATTACTTTCGTAATGTATAGTAAAACAATAATAGATTTCTGTCCGTGACTTTTTTTGACTATGAATAAAGAATTTAACCCATTTCTATATCAACTTAGACGATAGATGTTTGCAATATCACGTTAAATGTAAGGAATACATGTATTGGGTAAGTTTTTGTTCAGAATAATCCACTGATCTTTCAAGATAAATTGGTTGCAAGTTAAAGGAGGAATCAGATACATCTAGAGATGTGTCCAGTGAAAGATTTTTTGTCATTCTGTTCCTGTGAAAAATGCGTGCTGTGTTTTTTTTCTTGGTCTAATTCTCATCTTCATCAAAGACACTTAAACAAAATGAAGAAAACTATGACGTATATGTATCAACATCATATTACATGTACATATTATCTAACTGGAAGTTAAATTGAACATCAGTTTCTGTTGAAATTCATCATAAGGGTTTGGTTTGAAAGCTGCAGATTATGAATTCTGCGAAATTTGTGGGTTTTTTTTTTTTTTAAATATGCACATATTCCTTTCTTTTTTTTTTTTTTTAGATAAAAATAGTTAATTCATTGATAAATATGAAAATCGGTGACATAATATGATTGAAAAGTATTACAAGATATAAACAGAATTACAAGACATCTACCCTGAAGTTTTGTCAAGTGATTCGAGAATATTCATTATTGTTTAGAATAATTAATTATTATCAGAAAGTCTCTTTGGGAACTGGTAGAGTACAGACCAAAAATTAAGATAATCAAGAGTAAATTGTTCAATTCTAATAACATTATCACTTCATGCTCCATTTCGGAGTTGCTCGATGTATACACAGGGTTCCCTCATGGTTCTTTGCGCTCAACACTGCCTTGAATATACACAAAGGGCACAAACTTCTCAAATTTTCCATTTACTAAATCATCTGCTGGCTTACTCTCCTTTTGCTCTCTCTTCCTAATACCCGTGTTCTCCTACAACAATGTACGTAAGCAGTCTAGAGTTGCTGACCCAAGCCTTGTCAATTTTTGTTGCATGTAACATATTTAACAATGGAAACTAAATCTTACCAAAAAAATAACTTACCGTTTCCTCCCCAGTACTTATCGTTTGGACAGCTATAGAGCGATGTTGGCCACTGCTGGTATAAGTTTTCATCCTACCTGTAATAGTTTTTAAACTGTCCCTTCGCTTAACCTCTACTTTCATATGAACGGCATAAAACTGAAAAAAAGTGGGATAGAAAGATAAGAGACAAAATGACGATAAATTATAAGAACAATAAGAGTACTAGTAGTTGTTTTAAACAAATATTTTCGTGATATACAAATACAAATAATTACTGTAGTTATTCAGTCTAATCAATACACGCGGTCTAGTTGGAGCGGAACAAATATCTTATGATAAAAATTCTTTTTTATGCAGATATCCATTTTCCCTTGGTATAAATAAACGTTACGCCACAATTTTCCCGAGAAAATACCTTTGGTAGAAATATCATCGCTATTGTCGTTGTCACAACAACTTGACAATTCAGAAAGACCATGGCGTATATCAAATCTGGTCCTACTGATTCAGCAGTAAAGTAACTGGAATAATTTAATAATAATTAAGCAACTGAAAAAATCTGAATATACAGGCACATAATGCAGTACGTTAAACGTATTCTATATCTTTAAAGAGTAATGGAATTCAGTTTTATTTAGATACTTATATGGGAACAATCTGATTGAAATCAGATACTTGTGTAGTGATCTTTAGGAGCGGATCAAAGGATCTAATTTTAATCAGATTGTAGAAGGAAGATCCTAACCTAACTTGATCTTAATCAGGTTGTAAAAAGAGACAAAATCTTTTGGATTAACGATTATTTTCGTAAAAAGTAAAGTGCAAATGGATAGATATTCTGTGGAGAAACTGAAGATAAATGTATATGAATGCATATACAATTATGAAAACCTTTTTTTATACATTGTAATATCCTGAAAACTTGATATAACTTTTCCTTATCATCATCAAACTATAAAACAAGTGGATTAGAATTAAACAAAACTAATAATTAAACAAAAATAAGTTTATTGATAATTATTAAATACCCATTTCAGAATCTTACTTGACGATCAAGATGAAGGTACTGACGATGATGGCGTTGTAAATGGACCATGAAATGTGCTTACTTTCGTTAAAGGATGCTGGGGCTTTGTGTACCGTGAAACATAAGTATACCCCGAACAACAACATTAGAACTTCCACTGTCAAAACAAAAAAATATATCAATACAAGTTTATCCTTGTATTAAATAAAAATATTTTAAAAATAGTATCTATTTCAATATACAGACTTTGTTTCGAAAACAATAGCTTTAATTTTATAATTCATATGTAATTAGTAAAAAAAAAAAAAAAAATAAAAGCAAATATTACTACTCAGTAATATAAAACATGAAAGATAAACTTTCACTTATATAGTCCACAAATTATTATCTTCGAAGTATGAAATTTCATTTCCTACAATTAATTTAAAGATATGCTTAAACATGTAGTACCAAAGATATAATCAATATTGACTCGACCAAATTCTACGTTTTTGAAAGTGGAACCTGGTACTTTTTCATAAATCTAGAAAAGTCGTTCATCAGAAATTCGATCACTGCCCTTTTCTTTTCCAGGAAAGAGGGAACTTGGTATTCGAATAATAAGCCCATGGGTCTTACCATCTGTACTTATGCCAATAGACAAGTAGATTGTGGTTATCTTCAGGCTTAAACGCAAATAGAGACCTTCTTGTGACACAGTTTTTCTCTTTTCTGATGACAAGTAAAATAGACCATTGCGTGAGACCTGGGGACTAATGGCGGTAAAATGATATGCACTTGTATAACATGCCAAGATGGTATTAATTATGTTCTTATTTGTAAAAGGCTGTCAAAACTGAACAATGTCATAATGCAATCATCCATTCTGGTTGAAAATGGAACAACTTGCGATTGTTTCACTATATAAAACTTGATTTTCCGTCTGTGGCTAACATTCAATATAATAGAGTCTGATAAAGCACCAAAGCCAAAGGCATTATGAACAGTGTTTTTAAATGATAGACATTAATCTGTTTCTTTTTATCAAAAGATATATACTGTATGTGTACTGTACTTTGCTACTGTACTCACTTCCATACGCGGAATACGACCACCAATTGTCTGTGCACATCACAAACTTTAATCCTGAGGAAGTTTTCACGACTTTTGAAGTTTCGTCATTGGCTGCAGTCCATGCCACCAAATAACCTATTACAGCTGCAAGGATCACCCCCATGTGACGTAATAAGGTTTTATCAGTTATATGTACTTTTTTTAGTTGTCCTCTTCGGAAAATTACTGATATTCTGTCGAAGATATAAGAGATTAAATAAATTATACTGTCCTCTGGCAAACATTAGTATATTTGAATATCCTTGACAAATCTAATTTTCTTCTCATGAACTACAAAGTTTGACTCTGTTGACCTATCAGTTATAATAGTTAGCTTGGACACAGACCTCCATGTCTTTAAGAGGAGTGCCCCATACATCAGAAAAAATCCTACATGATATAGCCATGGTAGGATCGTACATAATATGTCATTGGCGTCAGGAAACATCACAAACATCTGTAAAAAAAAAAACAACAAAACACTATTGTTATATAATAGAAGTATTAAAACCTATGATACAGTGTACTCATATGAAAAATGCAAAGATGTGTGATTCAACTCAGAAATCTATAAGGAAAAAAGAGTTGCAAATAAGGCAAAAGCAATGATACCTGGAAACACCAGTGATAAGATCACGTGTCTGGGAGGACATCTCCTGGCACTGGTCAAATTAACAGTGAACACTGCATTACGTATGGAAATAAATCCGGAGTCCAAAAAGGTGTGAAAACAGTGGCTTATCAACTGGGTGGAAATATACGACCCAACTATACTCGTAGATTGTTATTGCAACAAGGGCGTTAGAGAATTTGCAATATACTCTGACTTTTTTCAAAGTCATACTCAAAATATGACCTTGGGGATCAAATCTTCTCGAAGACTTAAACAATATTTGCAAGTGATTGTGGAATATGTACTTTACAATATAACTTTCTCATTGATAATTTTCTGAGATCTTTTAATTTTAAATTATAATAAATTATCATACATGTACCGTGAAGCGTGCATCAAATGTTTCAAAATTTCTAACACAGTTTTAATATCCTACGTCCTGAAGTATTAAAAAATACATTTCAGCATAGTATGATTAGAAAACCACCCTTCTCTGGCAATGTTTCGTGACAGATTTCCTTTATAAAACTATAAACTGTTTTGTGTAGCCGTTCTTTGTTACCGAATTGATTATCTTGCTAGAAACTTTACTTCTCTGGACTCGGTTAAACTAATATTCTAATAAAAGACATAGACAGTGCAATGAAAGACAATGAAAGGTGCGTAGACACAGATTTGAAATTAATATTTTCTGTATAATATTACGACTCATATAATTTAATAACATTTCACACGAAAATATGTTGAAATATATTAAAAATCTTTCATTTCATCTAAATGTTATTAAAACTTTTGGACGGGTATATACTCTAAATTTTCTGGATTAAAGTTTTAATATTTTTCATAAATACACACCAAGGTTGACAGTTTTATAAAGTATTAAGAATGAAATTAAAATTTGTGAAAGTGCAAGGATGTGTCAATCAAAACCATCTAAGAATTTGACATTTCAATAAATTTAAGACGAAATAGGATGTTTATTTTTTTTTGTGAAATGCTATTACAATATATAAGTCGTGATATTATACAGAAAATCTGTATCTATGCACCTTTAAGAATAAAATTAAAATTTGTGAGAGTGCAGTGATGTGTCAATCAAACCTATCGAAAGAAGTTTAATAAATAACTTTTAGATGAAAAAAAAATTAACCTCAAATCAGTGTCTATGCACCTTTAATATTCTTGTAATAAGAATAGGAAGCAGTTTCAAATGTGTTTATAAAAATCCACGTCATGAAATTGGAATACTTCAAAGTAATAGGTAAATCAATTGAACATGCAGCAGATATTAGGTATATTAGAATGGAATAAATGTAGCGATAATGAACAGTATTCAAGCTCAAATGTCCACTCAAACAATACAAATGAGGTCAATTCAGTGTTTAGATAATCGGCTAATAATTAGTATGACAAATGTCAGTTAACATTTGTCTTAATGATAGATTTGTATTTGCTGGCAAGATCATTGAATCGACCATAGAGCTTGTGGAATCATGGCTTTACACGAAAAATGTTTTCTTTAAAAAGATTTTTATATATATAAAAGTTGACAAGTAATCTCTTCATAAAACATAGTTTTACCTGCAAACACATTAAGATACCTCCAATGCACATCAAAAGGAGAAATATAGGACTCCCACTCTTCATTACCTGAAATAAAGGTAATATATATAGTTCTGTATTAAAGATTTTAATGTAGTGTTGTTTCAAAGATAAATATAATTAAGGTAGGTCCGTACTTTCAGAATTTTCTATCAAACTGATAATTTTTCAATTTGAATACCTAGAACAAGTCTTAAACTTACTAAAACACCCATAAAAGACATATCTTTGCAGGTTAATTTTCATACAGCATGTCTCAGCGCACATACCTCTAAAAACTCAACAGCCAAAATTGAACATAGAAAAGTGTGATTTCATATTTCTCTCAGTTATGCACTAAATCACATCAAATTTATGTTAAAACTTATGAAGATCAAAAATATTCATTTGACGAGAGAATTTTTGAAATCTTTACTGCAAAACATTAACAAATTGGTGTTGAATCTGTCCATGTCTTTCAGAAAAAAATCTCAAAATATCTTTATTTTTTATAATTCTCAAAATCCAAAATGTTTAGATGCCATTTTTTCTTTAAAACTATTAAGAATTATATCTAATGTTAACAAAAACAGCTACTTTATTATGGTTGACCAGAGAATTTTAGCAAAACAGTCTTTTGAAGACGTATACCTCCATTTTTGGAATATCAATTTTTTCAATTATTCAATGCAAAATTTTTAAAAAGTAAAAATTAAATGGATGATATAGGCTCTAAATCAATAAAAACAAATCTCAGGTTAGTTTGCTTAAAAGAAAATGAAAAAGATTTAGGTCCATAAAAGCAATTAAGAATTTTGTGTTTGTGTGTGCACTAAATGACATATATAGATCTTATGGACAGAGTGCAAAGTGTTAATTTCCATAAATAATGTATATTAAATGCTTCATATGCACAATAACACTATAATAAACAAATATATACTTGCTAAATCATTTTCAATCACCCAAAAAGATTTATATCAATAGAAAAGTGAAAATCAGAATTTTATATTGATGTGTAAAATTAGAACCGGATCCGTAAAAGTGTGGGCCTTCCTTAATACAATAGCGCTCACCGTATGATATTTAATAATTTGTATCAGTACTTTTTAAACTTCATTTAAAGGAAATCAGACATTTTACTTTTAAAAATTTTAAGAGATAAGAAAAAAACAACAACACTAGATTGTAGTTGTGAACATAATATACAGAATATTGTCATTCTTACTAGATTTACATTCTTTAAGACTAAATTCTCATCCACTTTGTGTGTGTGATGAAATTTTAGGTCTTATTACTGTTTGAGAATGCATTTATTTTTATGCGCCCGGATCGATAGATCCGAGGCGTATATTGTTTTTTACCCTGTCTGTTTGTCTGTTTATCTGTTTGTCTGCTTGTCTGTCTGTCTGTTGTCAACTTTAACCTTCACCATAACTTTTGAACCATGAGAGACAGAGACTTCATATTTATTATGCATACTCCACTAATAAAGTTCTTTCAAATGACATCAAGGTCAATGACCTTGTGACCTTGACTGTGACTATATGCTAAAAATAGCTTTTTCGAACTTTCGCCATAACTTTTGAACCATAAGAGGTAGAGACTTCATATATACTATGCATACTCAACCAATTAAGTTCTTTCAAATGACATCAAATTCATGACTTTGTGACCTTGACTGTGACCTATATGAAAATAACAGCTTTTTGAACTTTCGCCCTAACTTTTTGAACCATGAGAGGTAGAGACTTTATATTTGGTATGCATACTCCACTAATAAAGCTTTAAATGACACAAGGGTCATGACCTTGTGACCTTGACTGACCTATATGCTAAAAATAGCTTTTTAGAACTTTCACCATAACTTTTGAACCATGAGAGATAGAGACTTCATATTTGGTATGCTTACTTCACTAATTATGTTCTTTCAAATGACATCAAGGTCAATGACCTTGTGACCCTGACTGTGACTTATCTGCTTAATGTAGTTTTTTGCACTTTGTTGCCGCCGGGCGCATAGTGTTTCACAAACACATCTTGTTTTTCTAAGAATGCGCTAAATCTATATAGTTGACCTCTCGATGATTTCAATACAAAGAAAAAATACAACTTTTTCTAGCTACATGTAACAAGCGGTACCTAAGAGTAAATAAGAGAGTCAATACAGTTTCCTGTACAAAGAAGGGAAAACAGTAAAAGCAGGTGTACAAACTACCTTATTTTCTCTCAAACGGTATACCGAAGCTGATACTAAAAGAATCAGGAATATGACGATCATTGTCAGAACAAGAATTATCCCTTTCATTGCAATGTTTCTCGTGAACAGACAAGGCGACGAATCTATGCAAACAGCACAACCTGGCGCGCAAGGAGTACACGTGTACTGCGACAGTGACGTCATATTGTTACTGGAAGTGTTTTCAATGTCGGAACCATTGTAGAACTTCTCTTCGGCTTTTATAAATGGAAAGAAATATCCTTTGGCGCATGTACAGATGTAGGCTCCTCGACCAAACCCATGACCAGGAGTGAAAACACACTAAGAATCAGTAAATAGACAAAAATGTAAGCAGTATAAGGAAGCCAGATTTCTTTGCAGCAAAAATTGCAGAAATATATCAATATATGGCTTTACTAAATAAACGTAGATTTAGGGACAGACATGAGAACCTACTGTTGTGGAAGGTTGACAGAGATGAGTTCCTCTAAAGATGTCAAACATCCCCTTCTTTGTCGAGATTGTATCAACGTCACACTGATTTACGTCAACGTTAGTGAGTTCTACGTCAATAGTTGCCACGCCCCTACATTGTAAGGATAGAAATGAAAATTCAAATTGCTAAGAAATAAATTAAATGTTAGTTTTCCACAAAGACTACATTGATCTTATTACTGTGTATTAAACTCTATTTTTAAAAAGAATAATACGATATATGGTATTCAACAATATATATCTTCACACATTTTCCTAAAAGGTGGTCTTTGAAAACCAAGTTTTTCAACAATGTGTAGAATTCCACATTAATTGTACCAATCTACTAGCTTTATATCTTTAATCTTTATATAAAGCAAAATTAGTTAAAAACTTTTTAGCGCTTCTGCATAAGAGAAAGAAACTATTGCTGAAGAAGAGTACTTAGTTATGTGATCGTCGTTTTAGCAATAAGAAAAAGTTTATCTCAATATTAAATATCTGGATGTTTACTGACTATATAGCCGTTAATGGGAAACTTTTGCACCGGCTTACAAAACATAACGACTTCAACTTTTCCATAGTTAACTTCTCTTTTACCTAATACGATCACTTGCAAATTATGCTTATGTATAACTCCAAACAGATTCGTACATAAAAGCTATGCAGAGTATATATATGATAGTTTTTTCAACTTAAGTAAGCTTCTGACAAAAGTTAATGCTACATGATTCTCTTCAATCTCGTCAATTACAAATCTCTGGTTGTTTTGAAGACCTTGTTTGAATAAAAAACCTATAACTGTTCAGTTTTATTTTGAAAAACAGATCTCATGGTTTTGTTAGGCTTTTAATTTATGGCGGCTGTGAATTACTATTTTTGCCTGACCAATTGCTAAACATAGCTTTTTGCGTGCTTATAGGTTTGATTGTTTATAAAGTTTTTATTCATCATTGTGCACTTGTAATCTTTAAGCGAAATCTTCTCTTAACCATAACTTCATTGGGATCCATCTTCAATAATCATTTAATTTATTTGCAAAATCTTTTGATTTACACTTGAAACGAACGCGGTGACCATCATATTGAAAAAATAATATTTTCATGCAAAATTGTTATTCATCTTTATTTTTTTCATTTATATGAGATAATCTTATGACTAATATGCGAAATCGTGTGATTTAAAGACGTTATTAATAAACCCGAGAAACCGTTTTTATATGCAAAAATTTATCTTCAAACAATACAAATTGGTATACAGGAAATACAACATGCACAATAGATATACCAGAGGTGGATTTAGGTACTTATAAGAGTAAGCATCATTTGTTGATCAGCTACGTTGAGAGCTGTGTAATACTCAGATAAAAGGAATATTCCATACATATAGTCAAATTAAGTTTACCAAAACACAGCCTAACACATGTGAAACACATAATACGACCTATCGTTAGGTTATATTTGCTAACAAGGGTTTTTGAAATAACACGTCTTTAACCTGCCTCGGTTCAAAAAAATTATCGTGATCAGTGTATGGACACACAGGGATTCAATAATGATTTATAGGTTTAGAGATTCGTACATGAATGACAAGATTTCCAATTTTAAATTGGAAGTTACAAGAAATATATTCTGATGCAACGTTTTACATACAGTTGGATAATAATATCAATTTTCTGCATTTGTGCAACAAAACAGAGCAAGTGGATAGTTCTTTATATAGATTACTTTAATAAAGGAATGATTTGAGTTATACTTCAACTCATGATATACTCTAACTGTACCTGAAAACAACGGACTTTTTGTCCGGTGCTAGTCCAAATATTGGAGATGAATAAGTCACCATCCACACATTTCCCCCTCCACAGTCAAAGTAGGGCTTTGTCCAATGGCCGTCATCCAGTGTGGCCACGGGCTGCGTGACCTCCACAGCAGGAAGGAGAGAATCGCCAGATCTGCTCAGATAATTGTTCATTTTAAAAAATCTTAATTTTTGGAGGTCATTTTTAACTGTTCTGCAAAATTGTTAAATTCATATAGTGATTGAAGAGTTTTTTTTTATCGTTAATGTTTTCAGTCAAATCATTTTTATTGATAGTTCTGATCAAATATTGTACGTGCATATAGTTTGTTGAGTGTTTGTTGTTTATTTTTCATCATCTCATAATTAAATACCAACCAAACTTTGCTTCCGGATTCCTGGAGAAGAAATTTATATGCATTTGAATAAAGAAAACTAGTTATAACTTAAAAGAGTAAAAGAATGAAAGTTTTCACAGGAAAAGTAATTTCAACATCTTCAAGAAATCCTTAAAATGTGTTTCAGACTTTCAGTTGAAAAATCCGTTAAACTACGATTAAACAGAGGTTCTCGGTTTAAAAATAGAGAAATTTTCCCCCGATGCATTTTTATATTGTATATAATTTCTCGATCCTTAAATAAAGCTTCTTATTTTCAAATGTACAGATATCTACCCTTAATAATAAAATCTTAATTTGGGAATAACGATTTTATATGTACATTTATTTCTTTGCAAGTAAGCATGCACAGGATGTTTACCAAAGTAGCTTATTGATAGCCTTAACATTGTATGCTCTTGCCGTTATTTTGAATATGAACAGTAATGGTACTCATCAAGTGTATACGTACATAATACACTTCAAATTTTCTAATGGTTGCCGTTGCCATGGAAACATTTTTTTAATTTGAAATTTTGAGAAAGAAAAGTACTTGTTCTCAACTCAAAATTACACTATTAGGCCAGTTCGATGTTACATATTTTGCTTTTTCTTGCAATACCAAAGGGTACATGTTGTTAACGAATAGATGAAAAAAGCTTATTTCATTAAAAGGTACTAATTTATATGAGTGTAATGTTCAATTAGCTTTACCTGAACTGGATTTTATCTGTCTCCAGGGATATATTGCTGAAGTCCTTATAGCGGAGTACATTGTAGTACTCGGTTCTGGGGTCTGTGTAATTATACTCTACAGCAATATCTTTAGAGAGAACAGATGTCTGGTTTTCGTCCCTGTATGCATAAGGACAAAACAGGGGATATCTCAAAGACTCGTGTGGTTCAAATGGCGTTCCCGAACCAAATATGATCGATTTCAGGTGAACATTGTTCCTGACGAGAGCGAAAAGGACGTCATCAGACAAAGAAGACATGCTGTTGTTGTTGCTGGAAATAATTTTGGAGATGAAATTGGCCAATCGGACTGCAGCAAGTGCGTGGGGATTCCATACAGTGTGGTCAAACACGAGATCTAGGGATTCCCCGGTTCCCAGACTGCAGTTGTCCAAATTCTCAATGAAAGCCACGTAATCTAAAGCCTGACGGGCTGCTTGTCTTTGAACTGGAGAAGAAAAAAGGCTTTATATAAATCTTATTCACTATATTTATGTTGATATTCAATGTTTCTAGTAAAACAGTCGTATTTTGAAATGAAGTTTGATAAATTCGGAGCATTGGAGGGGAAACAGAACTCACTGCAGATGTTTGTAGTTGAATAATTACTAGCTTTTATTCTCTGGCTATGGCTATGCTGAAAATGTACAAAAACGTTGAAAATTTCCAGATTTTCAAAGCATAACTATATGAATCAATATGGTTCATATCCGGTTTACGGCAGATGGATCATTGGGAATCAGGTGAATGGAAGGTAATGCGTATTTAATGTCCTCATGTCTTTGATATTTTACGACAATCTGACATAAAACGGCAATAAATTGGATTATTATATTGAATCTCACGCACAATACAACTTATTCGCGGTATTTCACCAACTTCGAAGCCAAATCTGTACGTATGAAGACGATTACTGCAAAGATCTTAGTAGCAATAAATCAAAAGCAATCATATGTTAATAGCGAGACTGATTTTACATGTCTTTTTTCCCTTAAAAGTACAACAACTGGTTATTCAGTTTCTGATAAAATTAATGCTACACATGATTTATTTTGTGAAGATAAGGACATTGAAAGAACTATTATAACATTTTTCAGAATTTGATTTTAAGATTTTCTACCTCCAGAAGATTACAAATCTGGTGCAGAATACGAATATATAGACCTTTTTGTATACCAAAAAGGTTTTCTCAAACCACTAATTACCATTTATTTATATAGAGAAAATTCAACACCCCCAAAAGTTAATGATTATTCATTTGTATGTGGTGAGTATTGTGGCAATATTCGTGGGTCACCGAACAAATCAACACAACATTGGCAGACCCACTTCAGCATCAACAACATATCAATCAATCATCAATCAAATTCAGCAAATTATAAACAAATTGACCACCCCGGGTAATCCGCGGACGGTTATTTAGTTAATCTTTACTAATTTACATACACAATCTGCAATAATTATTTTAATACAAAATGCAGTTTTTCTACAATTTATCAAACCCAGTCACAAAGCAATGCAGTTCCCATCAGCACAACACATTCACTCGATCAGTGTCAACCATTAGTCAACAAAATTGCTGCAAAATCTTAGTAGCAATAAATCAAATGCAATCATTTGTTAATGGCGAGACTGATTTTACATGTCTTTTTTCCCTTAAAAGTACAACTGGTTATTCAGTTTTTGATAAAATTGATGCTACACATGATTTATTTTGTGAAGACAAGGACATTGAAAGAATTATTATAACATTTTTCAGAATTTGATTTTAAGATTTTCTACTTCCAGAAGATTACAATACATGGATCTGGTGCAGAATATACGAATATATAGACCTTTTTGTATACCGAAAAGGTTTCTCAAACCATTAATTACCATTTAACGACGAAAAACTGAAATTCCAACGAATGTTAATTTTAGGAATCTGGTAAGCTCAGAAGATAAAACACTTCCTTATTAATCCCCTGTCTGTGAAACCGCTGGGGACTATAGGTTCCTCAGCGCCTCTCCATCAGTCTGTCCGTCTGTCAGTTTGCCCCAATTGGTTTTCCGAACTTTTTTTTTTTGCCCCTGAAGATATTGAGCGGATTTTCTTTATTTTCTTTGTGGGTGTATCTTGATGAGCTATAGATCAAGTTTGCATTTTGTTCCGCTTCCATGATTTGCGACGGAAATGTAGCATTTGCACTTTGTAATGGTATTAAATAACACTTGCCGGTTGGGTATTAGTATTGAAATTGCAATGTTTTGTCTTAAAGTACCGGAGGTTTTCTTGAATGATTTTTAACGGAATCCCGGCCTCTTTTTAAATGTTAAATGTTTTCCTCATTATGTTTTTTCTTCATTCTTAGAGTATTGCAAAATCCAAACTTGATCTATAACTCATCAATGTAAACAACTCAAAATCTTGAAGCACTAAGAAAAAAAGAGGAAAACCCTTAAAAATGGAAAAGGTTATTCCGTCCAAAATCAAAATGCAAACATGATCTGTATCTCATAAAGATACACTCGCATACTACAAATCAGTTCAATATCTGCAGGCATTTAGAGAGAAACAATGTGGAAAACCAATTAAGTGGGACATATTGACATCTCTGCAGATGTAGAGACAAACAGCTAGGCAGACAGATGGACAGACAAAGAGGGAATATATAACCCCCTTTCTGGATTTCACCGGTAGGAGACAAAGACAACAATGTTTATACTTTAAGATTTAAGTCAGAGCTAGAGCTGACCACCTATTAAAGCAATATGAGCTGCATTTTTGAGAATTTTATTTTGGTGGTAAAATGTGTTACAATGATTAATCTGTATGTAATCTAAACCCTTATGATCAATAAGTCCAAAATAAAATATAAAAATGTTTCATAAGATATATTTCTGTACAACAGAATATATAGCATTATATAAGAAACCATTATTGTACAGGACGACAAAAATTCAATTTTGCTTCAATCAAAGCTTATTAAAAGTTCTTCCATAGCAATATAACCAACAGACGTTTATAAACGTTCTATTTTCCTGTCATTGAAATAGTTAATTACAAATTTGAAATATTTTTTTTCGATATCAAACATGCAGCTCTTATTGCTTTAAAACACGGGAAATATACAGAATGATTTAATACCACACATGTATATCAAATTCATAATCAATAATAATTAGTTTTATTAATTGTTCTGTCAACCCCAAACGTAGCCGTGAAGGCATGTTGCTACCATGCCGCTTATAATTTGGTCCGTGGTTTTCTCACAAATGGCTTAGATGACCTTAATATTACAGATGCCGAAATGACCATCATCGAGTGTACTTAAGTTTTCAACGTGCAAAAGTATGAAAAAGATCAAAATTTGAAAAATTCAAAATTTATTATTTTAAGGTACTCCGATCCTCGGGGTTCTGAAAATCAAGCATTGACTTATTGAAAATGCTCAAAAAAAAATGTATCTGAATTTTCAAAGTAACGGGTTTTTTTAACTACAATAATTCTTCAAACTTCATCTTTCAAGTTAATCATATTATATAGAGAAAATTAGGAAACCTCAAATATATTTTCAGGAATTGCGAATAAAAACACTTGCTACGCATTTTCCAATTCAAATTTGATCAATTAACACATTTTAAAAATAAAAATCATAGGTATCCAAGCTTTTGAAGTAATTCTACGATTTTTTTTTTTTTTTTTTTTTTTTTTACATATAATGTACTTTAATTTCTTTTATTTACTTCGATCATTTTACAATGCAAAGTATATAAAGATTCTCCTGTCATTGTGAAGCATCATAAATTACTTCTAATTTCACATCATGTTAATAAACATTGGTATCTATGGTTAGATTAAAATGAACATCAATTTCTTGATATATGTAATTTCAAAATGCTTTTACGGGGTAACAATTTTGACTTTTTATTAGACTTTACTAAGAATTTCAAAGAACCTTGAAGCACATTGAGAGGTATATAATGAAAATTCTTGCATGAGAATATTTAATTTTTAAGCTTCATTTTGAGACTTTTTAAATTAGATTATAAATCAAAGAGTTGTCCTTCCTGGCTGAGGATCGGAGTCCCTTAAGTAACTGCCCAGTCTGTCATTTAAAAACTTTCATTGTTTATTCCTTAACATTAAACAATGAAATAAACTTATCAACTCTGGCTTTGAGTGGGATAGCTCTATCAACCTCGCAACAGGAACTATTTCCCGAGGGCTTGTATTCGGGGAATAGTTTTTGTTAAGGGTTGATGAAAGTGCTTTCTCACTGACAACCAATGGAAAACCTCTTTATTACCTTGATGTGAATAACAATCTGTGAGGATTGCAGGGATACAATTGTAGCAATTTTCTACCCGGGGTTTTAGCATAACTGTATACCTTTGTGAAACTTTTTCAGTGTTGGAGAAATCGACAACCATTCATATTGCAGGAAATTAAAATTGGTTGTCAGCAAACAGTTAATATTGAGTGTGTTATGTTATTATTATACATGTATGTAAGAAATATTTTATATGTGTGAGGAACAATTGTCCATTTTTGTTGGAAACCTTTGATGCTTATGTTAACTACAATTTTTGTTTCTTGATCAAAACCCTTATTTTGATGAATAAAATACATTTGACTTTTGACCTTTTTCATATCAGTTAGGAAAAGAGGAGGTATTAAGTTAGATAAGAACATTCTGTGGGATAGATAACACAAACTGGTGTATAATTTAGTAAGATTTGAATTTGAAGTCCTTCGCTGCTAATTGGAACAATGCTGTCTATTAATGAATATAAAATTTAATCATTTCATATCGAATGGATGATACGTGTTTCTGCATTGGCAGATATTAATATTGAAGTGTAATAAGAATATGTCTTTTATTATTTCATTTGATTTTTTTTATGTATATTAAGTGAAATTAATATTTAGATCATTCTACAATATCTAACATAAAACATATACTATAAATTGAATACTTTTAATGTTTGGTTTACGTATTACTAGTAAACTAAACCATATATTGACTATGAAGGTAGAAAAATAAACTTGAGGTATTATATTTACCTTTCAGGTAAAAAAAAAATAAAATTGATTTTTTTCATTCATTTCTTGATTTCGAGAAAATATTTTAAATTTTCCCTATGGTATCTAATCTAAATAATGTTTCGCAAAGCATTGTACAATTTTAATTTTTAAAAAAAATCATATTCTACACGTATTTTTTGTGCATCGGGTCAAGCAATAATTGTGCAAAAAAAAAAATTACCTTAAATTTCCATACATAAAATTGATAATATAAATCTATCTAAAATTGATATAAAAATGGTCAACCTTTGACAGAATACATTTTGCGTTTCGTACTTCATCCATTCATGGTGTATATAAATCAAACGAAATTCAGAAGGTAAAACCTAGATGTGGAACCTCAGTCGGTTCCCTTTTGGTCATATAATATACTTACCTGTATAAGAATTAACTAGTATGTAAATTCCCAGAATATAAAGAAACACGCAATAAAGCGGGAACACGATATGCGTCATCCTCAGTGTATCGCGTGTGAGTGACTTCAGATTCCGTGCGTGACTCTCCTGATAATTCCGATGACGAAATGCTATTATAAAAGAAATTGCAGGTATCTTGAGTGAAATCAATTTACATACAGTCGTAAATCAGAGGATGCTTTAGAGTAAGATTTAAAAGTGTGAAAGAATTTGTCTTCAATACATTTCAATAAATCCATTAAGAAATAAACGGGATGTTGCCAAACTTTTACAGAGAATTTTTTCGAAAAATTATAAACTTCTCATATGCATGCTGAATAAAATTAAAATACTACTTAAGTTTTAGAACAAATAATGAAAAAAATCTAGTGAAAACGTAATAACAACCTGAAATCTTCTAATTCAAAATTGGACAGATTACTCTATTATTTTGAATGTTTGGTCCAACTCGTCAAATTAAGACAAGAAAAGGAGGTGGTGGTTTTTGGGTGGTTTAATAGGGTAAATACTACCCATCCATGAATTAGAAATCATAATTGTGTTTTTATTTTTGGTTGTATCAATGGTGAATACGAAAATATTTTGATTTTAAAGTTCTAAATCTCTGTCCGAGATCAGAAAATCTACGGGTAATGTTTAGTAGAGAAATATAGATTGTATAGACTGTCGTTGATGGCCTATGTTCCTCAAGGAACGACAGGCCTAAGTAAGTAAGTATAGATTTTATTTGTCATAGATAATTAAACGACTCTTCGATTATTATTTTTTTTTTTTTGAATTTTTGAATAGGACTAATTAATCTCAAGCTTTAAAGATTATTTTGAAGCAGATTATTAGTATCTGCTTCAGCAATTTTGCTTCTTGGATCACGTTCTATAGTTTCATAGTTTCGCAATTATCATGGTCGTTGAGCATACAATTGTTACTTCAAAATAAATATTGCGTGGCCCAAGATATGATAAATGTTTAAATCTTGAATACCAGCACAATTTTCTGAACATAACATGAATCAACGAATCGTCATTTCCCATCCATGCCCGGTGTGTGGTTTAAAATTTAATTTTCTATAGCTTTTAAAACATATATGAAGAGAGAATAATTTTTATTATGCCACTGCATTTCCATAATTCTAAGAAAATTTTGTGTGCCTATGTATATAGAATAAGTTGATAATTTTGTATGTCTATTTATAGAAAAATTTGATATCGTACTTATACAAATTTACAATACATGTATCTAAAGGAATGTTTTTGTTTGTTTGTTTTATTTATTTTTACTTTGTTTGATTGTTTGTTTGGTTTTTGTTGTTGTTGTTTTTTTTGTTGTTTCTTTTGGCTTAAATATCAATACTTAAGACATTTTTATTATTAGAAACATATTAATTATAATTGATTTGAGTGCCAAAACTAAATCCTTTGCTAACGAAAGTGAAAGATATCGCAATCGATCTTATAAATCCCCTGTAATACATTTATACAAGTTTTTGGAGATCGTCTTCCAATTATCTGTTAGAATTCCCAAGGGTTACATGCGTTTCATTATTAGGCGATTTATTTTTGTATTCATATGAGGAAGAATTCATTTAAAAGCTTCATTTTTTGAGTCTATAGATAGTATGGCACGCCAAATTCACAAAAATGAGCAAATCATAGTTTCACAATCGATAAACTAGGTTTATCGGTTGTAAACTATAGTTTACGGACTGTAAACTATAGTTAACAACGTTAATCTATATTTTACATCCGTAAACTATAGTTAACGCGATAATCTATGTTTCACAACCGTAAACTATACTTAACACCGAAAACTATCATTTGCGATTGCAAAACATAGATTATCTGATAAATACTGTTTCACGATTTGTAAACTATAGTTTACAAACCGTTAACTATAGTTAACGATCTGATAAATATAGTTTCACGATTTGTGAAACTATGATTAACAACTCTTAACTATAGTTTACGATTGTTAACCCTTTATTCAGACTGATAAACTTAGATTAGCATTCGTAAACTATAGTTAACGACCGTTAAATATAGTTTTACAGATGAAAACTATACTTAAGAATCGTTAACTATACTTAACGAATCGTAAACTATAGTTTACGGTTTGTAAACTATAGTTTACAGTCGATAAACCTAGTTTATCAATTGTGAAACTAGGTTTATCTCATTTTTGTGAAGTTGGCGTGCCATAAGATAATATTATACATTTATTGACTGAGATCGAGGGCAACATGCGTTTTGTCGGACCCAAGAACCAAACTGTCTGCCTGAGGCCGTTGGGCCGAAGGCAGACAGTTTGGTTCGAGGGTCGACAAAACGCATTTTAATATGTTTTGTTTACCTTTCATTTTAATTTATATTTTTTGACATAAATGTATTTTCTACTATATTCCGTAATGTAATATAAAGGTCTGTCACTCTTTTACACCAACGAATGAAAATGAGATTAAGCTCCGCCCATTCTGTGACGTAAGCGGTCCAACATCTCTCCGAGCGGTCCAACATCTCACTCAGCGATCCAACATCGATTTTTTTATGCCCGCTCAGCAAAACATTAAAAATGTTAGACTTTTTCCGTATAGATTTGTATAGTAACAAATTTTAAAGGTATAACAATTATTTTTATTCCTTTGTTGATCCGATATATCCCTCCGAAGTCGAGATTAAAGATATTATATCACATATTCTGACATGTCTGTTTCATATTTGGATATTTTACCATAAAAAGACAATGGTAATCTAACAACAAAATTTATGATAAACGTGATGACTTCATCATTTCCATCGATGGCTTGCCTTATTTATGTTCAGCAAAATATCATTATCACCTACATATGAAGTTTATGTGATACGCAAAAGCATGTTCTAAGTTCGAACAATTTCTGAAACGGGACAAGCTACTGACAAATAAGTTCATGAAAAAGTCTCTTTTAAAAAAAACAATCTATGGTCGATATACTGACATTGTCAGCAAATACAAACTATCTGTAAGTCAAATGTATACTGACGTTTTATACAATTTGTATTGCCATTATTTTCACCCTGAGGATGCTAAAACCTCCATGGCATTTAATTCTATCTCTGATGTTTTTAGTGGTCTGTGTTTGCTCTGCCACTGATTTATATAGCCTCAATGGACTTTGGATCATGATTACTGTTCATTTTTTTCATATTTCGTGAACATACTAGTATTGTAAAAAAGGGCAAAACAACACCGACTTCTAGAAACTTTCCATAGATGGCATCAGCTGACAAGGAAGAGTAAGCGTTCACTTGCCAGTGGTGTACTTACAACATTGCATTTTCCAGATGCTAACTCTAAACGAGGTGGATTGAAAGCCCTGTAACATCAAATTATTTGGCCATCGCTAGTCTTAGTTTAAAAATTGATCCTACTGAGAGCATGATCTCGAGTATCGGAAAAATTGGAGACGTATACTCGGAACAGGCTAAAAACTGAATCCTCTGGACACATAAACACATTCAGGTGATAGTAGATTGTTAATACCTTCCTCGTGGAAAACTGGCAGTAGAAATGCTGAAGTTTGTCATATAGTTTAGTTGTTAGTTGGCCATTACGTCCACAGTCAGTAAACATTCTGTTGGGAATCAAATTAGCAAGCTTTTTATGTTACCACTTCTAACCATGGTTCAACATATGGAACCATTTTTTTTCTTAATATCTCAATTTGTAATTTTGTTTTTCAATTTCACTTTTGAAATTATTTTTTGTTTACAAGCCACCCTTAAATGAAAGGGATTATTAATAACTGGAACAGTTTTTTTGTTGTCATTCTTGAAATATTCCTGTACAAAATAATTGGATTAATATCTAGTAACTGATGCAAATTTATCTCTGAAAGTTCGGATCATCTATCTTTGTGCATACTATTGCGCATTTAGGTCTATTCTCCTTAATCAAGACAGATTTCTTTGCTTTACATGCATGCAGTGACTGCTAAAATACATTCAGTGTAAAGCAAAGTTTTTGTGTTTGTTTCTTCGTCAATCTTCTAAAGATGGTTATCCAGTCACCGAGACTGTCAGGATACGTACCCTTTCAATATATATTTTATATCCTATCCTCTCATTAATTTCCCCTACATAAGAAATTATCTAATAATATTTTTTTCGCATTTTCTCTGGTTCCAAAAGATTGCAGTTACTTTTAGCACTTTTAGAGAACTCGAAGAAAAATATTACCTGAGGCGGGATCTTTTGATCTCTCAATCTAGTCCACTTTGCAAAAGGATATCATATGTCCCGTTCCTGTTAGAGTTCGGGGTAACAAGTTGAAAAATGATTACGATAAAATGATGACATACATGATGATGCACCTTGTTGTGCAAATGCTTTCCTGGGTCAAAGTATATGCTCAGTATTTACAATTTTTGATACTGGTAATCATGAACACACTTAATCACTGGAAAAGATATTCATAACCATAAAGGATGACTTTTTACACTTCTTAACTTGCCATATAGCGCTGATTCGCGTCTAAGGCATTAAAAAGCAGAGATTGTTGTATCAAAATACTGTGCAGAATGGTTGTTGCAAAATGGAAATAGAAAAAGAACATATAAATAACAAAGAGAGAATCTGGAGCAAAACACATACAAACAACCACAAATAAGAAAATTAGATGAAAATGTCGATGTTTTAGTTGTGGGAGATACGTGTACAACAGGTGCTTCTTCTGCTTCGTTAATGACGTCTGTATGATGAAGATGTCGGGCCGGAAGTAGCTAGCAGGTGAGTAATGGACTGCAATATTGTTAAATCATTACACAGTGACAGTTTAAGAGAACTTTATTCTATCCATTATCGAAAAAAAATTATTTATATGAATAATTTTGTACATTGGGGTAAAGTAAAACCGTTTCTTTTCATGCAAAACTCTAGTGAGGTACACAAAGTAGCCCATTCAGACACCATAATTATGTCTATGTCACGTTCATTTTAAATTTTATTATTTAATATTTTCAAGTGAATAAGCATGTCACTGCACAATTAAGCTGAAAACTAGGCCCTATA